GCCCCCAGCACCTTGGTTGTCGGTGGTTGCAGATCCTCCTCGTCCTGACGGCACTGCAGCCCGCCATCTTCAGCATTCTGGCCAACAACGGCAACATTGCCTGCTCGCCGCCCTTCTCCTCCAAGGCCAGGTCACAGCGTAAGTCAGGAGATGGAGGAGTGGCGTCAGGAGCTCCCAGCTGAGCTCCCCCATCGCATGGTGGGGTGCAAAGCACGGTGGATGAAGGCTTCACATGACTCTTCGCTTCCAGAGATGAACATGCAGCTGTTGATCCCGCAGACCTTCATCCTGGCAGTGGTGACGCGGATATACTACCGCAAGGAGGACGACAAGCCGGGCTACCAGCCCATCTGCTTCCCTCCCTCAAGCACTGATGTCAAGGCGTGAGCAGGAGGGGGAGCAACTGAGGTGGCCAAGGGGCAGAGTGAGGTGAGGGGCTGGTCTGCCCTGTACAACCATCTCCTCCTCCAGCCCTGGGGAGCTGCTGGCAGCAGAGGAGGCAGAGGTAGAAAGGGCATCTCAGCATGGTGACAGGGTCTGAAAACTGAAAGCCACAAGCCAAAGGGATCTGTGATGCTGCCTCCAGCCCAAGGGGGGCTCTTGTCTGGCACTGAATAAAGAGAAATTTGTACCAGAGTCTTGTGTTAGTGACTGGGCTTAGGTCATGCCCAGGCTGGGTGGGAGATGGTCCCACACAGTGGAAAACATTGCTCAGCTCAGCACAGTCACAGCATGGGGCTGTCATGGGGTGCCCAACACCCAACCCTGATGCTGACCTCACCTCCGGGAGCTGCTGGCCGGGGTCCGACACCAAGGCAACGCTGGGGCAGTGCCATTTTCTCCAGAGACCTCTGGATGGGTCTGGCCTGTCCCTGGGGCACATTCTCAACAGCAGTGGCTGCTCTGCGGGAGCACCCACACCTGCCACACTGGGGCCAGGCGAAGGAAGGAGCTTTGGAGCACCTTCTAACACAGGCAATTAGTTAATCCTGTCTTAACCAGCCTTGCCTGGGATCTGCTCCAGTAGCAGTATCGGCTCTACACTTACAACAGAGGAGGGGACAGACAGCAGGAGCGATGATGACTCGCAGAAACCAGAGGGTAATCTTCTGACCCCCACTGAAGCATCTTCTCACTCAAACCACTGCTAAGAGGGGAGGTGAGGAGACCACAATGGGAGCTGGCTGTGCTAGGATGGCAGAAGGGAATCTGCCACACGCTGAATAAAACGATTTTGCATTTATTTGCCTAAAAATAAAAGCCAAAAACTCTACTCCAGAACAAGCCAGTTAAGACAAACAGTAGGCACACAGGCCTATATAGAGTAACCAGCACAGCAAACATTGACCAACCGGGAAGAGCCAGCTTGAAGCAGCCACTGCTGCGGGGCCAGAGGTGACGGCAGGACTGGGTGACAAAGCATGGCCAAAGATGGGCAGCAGATTCCAGACCATCACTGCTAAGACCAGACCCTGCTGCTGGGCATCACCAAAGCTTCTCCTTACCTGCTCCCTGGTGCCCTCCCATGGCAACGCCTCTGGCCAGCGCAGCACACTGGGGAAGCAGAGTCAGAAAGCTAAAGCTCCCAACTTGTACTAATTGAATTGATTTATTCTGGGGAAAAAACAAGTCCTCTGTCCCATGAAGAGGTGGAGAAAAGCAACTTGGAACTTTTTGCAGGTGGCTGTGTTCAAAGTGAAACTGCTCTACAGGAAGATGTGTTATGAGACTTCCAAATCTGACAGGCTTCTGGCAATAGCACACGGCTGTTGTGAAGTTTTCTGGGCACCAGCACAAGCACTGGGATCCAGCGATCTCATGGTTTTGCCAAGAAGCAACACCCAGGCAATCAGCAAAATATGGGACTCAGCTCCTTACCTGCGGCAGACAGGAAAATCACTCCTTTATACCAGGGAGCTCTTGGCAGGGAGAAGCCCACCCTGAGGGCGGGGGGCAAGATGCCAGCTCAGTCTCACCAAAGTCACTGCTACAGCCAAGCGTATTGGTTGCTCTAGCACCTTCCTCTCTTCGACTACTAGAACAGGTAATGTCCCAACCCTCTATAAAATGCACAAAATCACGTCAGTGCAGGTGCGTGCCACAATTTTCTCAAGAGTTTAAAGACCTCCTACAGCTCTAAGCAATATGCTGTTGAAGTGCCACGCTCTTCGTGTCTTCTAACAGCACCCTCGGCACCTTTTAGCTCTGCCCTGCTGCTGCTCTTTCTTACCATCAGAAAATCCCCTCCCAGGGGCTTTCTGCCAGTGCCAGCAGCCTCACAGCTCAGATCTAAAGAGGAACCAAGGAAGGGCTGCGTCACAGGAACCAACAACTCCGAATTTAGCAGCATCAAATTCCACGTTCTTCAATGCATGCTAGTAAAGTTTTAATTTTCCACTCTCTCTCTTACTTCATGCTTAATTCAAGCATGTCTCTACCAGCTGCTTCTTTTGAAGAGCGTGGGATGGATTCAGGATGTGCAGGACAGCCCTGAAGCAGCAGCACTGGCTATATCTGCGGGTAACAAGATGACCCTGGAGAACTTGGCTCACGTTTTACCCAAAGATCAAGCTTTGTCCTGTTCCTGACAGAACAGGGCAGTGCTGGAGATGAAGCTGGACCAGCAATCCAGGAGAAAACAAAAAAACAAAAGGGGGAGAAAAAAAGACTAGTCTGGGATTTGAGTGTCCAATTTAATTGAAGTTCAAGGAGGAAGCAGGAATTGCTGGTTACAAGATACAGCTCTGTTATTCCAAGCTACATGTGAAACCACGGCTGGCTTCTTACCAAGCACCCCAGGTGTTACAGAGAGACCAAGAAAATCCATTAAGGCCTCTGCAGAACAAACCGCCATCCAAACCACCATTGTTATCCAAATTTATAGAACACTGTTGCATAACTTGTGTTTAAAACAGTAGTGAGGCTCTACAGCAGCCTGGTTTTTGTGATCCTGCTCGAGAAAGCAACACAACACTCATACTGAGGGAAGGGTGAGGAAAGGAAGGTGGGGAAGGGAGAACGTGGGTGACATAAAGTAAGTGCTCTACCATTCATATACCAGGTGACAGTTCTTTGTTCCTTACAGCTTCAAATCCATAGCAGCCAGCCACATTCCCAGAGCTGTGCAGGGCCTTGACAAGAGGTCCAAGCGGCAGATGAGGAATTCCCAAAATACCCTTTCCCATACCAGCTCTGCCTTCAATAGAAGCACAGTCTCTATCACGCCGTTTGATCAACGTGACAAAGGATCAGCAAGATAAAAGCTGGAAAGAAGCCGCAGCCTCTTCCTATCACAGGGCCCCCGTGTCCCCTGGCAGCACCGCACCATGGCATCGTCTGACGATTTGCCTCCTTGCGCCCACCGCTCCCCGAGCCCTGTGTCCTGCAGCATTGCTGACTGGGCTCCGAGCTGTCCTCTGCTCCCAGCGTGGCAGGAGGACACAGTTAAACTCAGCCCAGCAGCTCCACCCAGATGCAATGGGCATCGCAGGCAAACCCGAGCAGAAAAACAAGCAGGAGCTTCACAGCTCCATGACAGTGACTCCAGTCCCTCCAGCGCTGGCTGCCAGGAATGGAGTGTGCCGGCCTGCTCTGCGCCCAGGCACGCAGCGCGAGGAGGGTGACTGCCTGCGGGGAGCCACAGGCCACAAAGCTCAGCGTTTATCACAGACACAACAGCAGGCATGACTTGGACCGTTGCTTCAAATGAGCAGACTACGTGTTTAAAATCCTAAAAAGCTGCAGCGTTCTCTGATGCTCTTTCTGGCTGGCCTCAAGGAACAGAGTAAGCAGGCACTGACTGGCGCATTTATTGTGCAAGCCAGGTAACTGTCACGCGGGACCGGGACCCTTCCCTGGGTAAAATGTGCCCTTCACCTGTCCAGCTGCACACAGCAACGCAGACAGCAAACTGGCTGTACGGAGTCACGTTTTGTCCTTTATAGCAGCAACTTCACAGCACCAGTGTAAAGGACTACTCCAGCCCTTAAAGCACAGCAACTGAAACACAGACAAACACACACAGAGCACAGTGCTGAGGGCCATTTGGACAGACAGTAAAACTTACTACACACCAGAGACTGGGACAAGGAACTTCTCAAAGGAGCAGACACATTTGTTTCCTACCTGAGCTCTCACACACCTAAGGAAACGCACAGACAGCAGTTGCCCTGAAGCAAAGACTCATTCTCTTCTCTCCAACAACAACACGAGGCTGCATTTTAGCTCAAGATTTAGCAGTCTTGTTAAGATTAGCTGGCAAGGCCCTTCCCCTGCAGCTCCCATACAATCTGCTCTGTGCTTACAGGGTGTGCACAACCCTAGGGTGCTGAGAGTTCTTCCAGCGTGTAACTCCTGCGTGCTGAGCTGGCAGCCCCTCACCCAGCACGTCCTCACTGCAACACGCTGGGAAGCTTGGCTAGAGAGGCACGTGAGTACTGCTGGATAGATTCCTATCAACTCCAGTGCAGCAAAGGTGTCTCTATTTCCTAGAAGCCTCTTTTTACACCACCACTTTCTGTGTGCTCTTGAGGTCACACTAGTTGAGGAACCAAGGGGTCTTCGTTTGGCAGCAGCACAGAGACTGCCTGGGTGCGGGGGAATAAGACAGAGGAGCTGAAGGAAAGAAGAGGCAGATGGGTCCTCCCAGTCTCCCTCTTGCCTGGAGGTTTAACAAGGGAAAAGAAACCAAAACAAAAGCCACACTTGAGTGCTATTCTTTGTGCCTCAAAAGAGTATTTTCTTAAAATATAAAAACCATCTTCCCTCTGGAAACCACTAGAACGTAAACAATAAAAAGGGGATCTGAGGAGGAGAAAGGAGAGGAGGTTTGAATGTGCTTCCAGGCAGCAGCCCTTGCCAAGAGCAACGGGTGCCTCCAAGGCCCTGTGCTCACCGTCAGCCCTGTGCCTATGGCTCCCTTGCTCATTCAGAGTTCCCCAGTGGGTCCGGACTTATTTGGCGATTAGCGGTTTGCAGCAAATCCCGGCTCATAGCTTAATCCTCTTCATCCTCGCTGATGTCATAGGTGACTGCAGACTTGTTCCTGGAGCGGTTGGCCGGTGAAGAAGGAGGAGTCTTGGTTGAAAAGGGCCAGCGGAAGGAAGGAGATGGGGAGCGGTCATGTGTGGGGCTACTGCTGGGACTCTGTTTTGGGCTGATGGCCTGCAGCATCCGGCCCTTGCCCTCCTTCAGCATGTGTTTCTAGCGATGGAAACAAGGAGACTGTTAGCACGGCTCAAACAGCGATGGAAATGGACCCTACTTACAGCTTGTGCAATGCTCTGAGCTGCCGAGTCCCTTCAATGTCTTGTGCGATGCAAGAGCAGAAGCCCAAGCACCACTCTAGGCTCTGGGAACTGCACAGAGCATCATCACCACCCGTTTTC